CGAGATCTCGCAAAAGTATTGTGGGATCTAGCAAAAGTGTATTTTTTATGAGATCTCGCAAAAGGTTTGTGGGATCTCCCAAAACTGTATTTTTTCCCTCCATGTCCCTTTAGGGGCTCCGTAGAAAGCGGCAAAAAGAGAAAAAAAAAGCTCAATTTTAAACTCTGGTAAAAACTATAAAACCATAAATTATTAATTTAAACGAAAAATCTTCTGATCATGAAGAGAAACTTTTCACAGGTAAGGATACGAATGACGCCCACTCCTGCTGGAAATTAGTTTATTTTAAATGTAGATGTTTAGAACATTAGCCTTAGACAACTTTTGTTGTCTTTTTCTATACAAACAAATGAATTTTAGTTTAGTGCAGCTTTTCAGAAAGTAAATGAACATTTCCTTTTCCTAAAGTGCAGCAGTGAAAAAATCTAAACAGTAGAAGAAAAAAAAAAGCATAAATATGGATAAAATAGCCAATAAAAAAATAATAGTTTGGAAAATAAAAGAAATTATGATACAAGTTTGGATTAAAAAAAAGTTTTTTACATAAAATAAACAGCATATCCACCTGAAAACTAAACACCCATTTATAATAATCCACCTATAATCACCTATAAACCTTTCCTCTTTCTTCCATATATCGCTTTATAATTAGTTTTTTATTTTTATATTTTCCCATAAAGTCTGCCCTCATTGTTGTTCTAACTTGGTGTTTTTGGCACTGATTGCTTCCCGTCTCTTCAGTGTCGCCAGGCAGTGGATTATTTCTCACTTTAAAAATCATCTGCTCCGTTTCAGATTTAACCAAATCTGGAAACTTTAAAATGTCTGAATGTCAAATCCACTCAGAATCCAAACCTTTTCTGCAACTCGTCAAACTTCAGAGCATTTGAAGTACAGTAAAAACTTTAATTTCAGTCTTAATTTGGCAGATTATAATCTCATGGGTTTATCTTTAATATCAACGGTTCACTTATTCTAACTAATCGATCCTGAAATTAAAATATTTCTTATGAATCTGATGTTTTCATTGAAGGTTTTGCTCCTTTTTTCTACTAAATGTTTTATTCAAATGTTATTAGATTTATTTTCAGTCAAGAAACACAAATATGCATCATAAATGATCTTTAATCTTTCAGAAAGAGAAGAAAAATAAGGTCCTAAACATCTGAGTGACGTCACGCTGTGATTGGTTAGAAGCTGAGCTGCTGTTTCAGTCGTTCCATGATTCCATGTTCCATGTTTTTATATCATTTCTTTCCTGAAAATATATTTATTGGTTCTGTTTAATGTTCTAATTTGTAATACATCATTTTGTGTTTCTTGTGAGAAATTTAGTAGAATGAACAGAAGTAAAGCTGTTCTATTATGTACTTGTCTATACTACAACCTGTTTGAAGTTTTTTTATTAAAAACACTGAAAACAAACATTTCACAGAGTTTTTAAAACCAGCAGCAACTTTCTCTAATTTCTTCCTGTCTTTCATCTGTATTCAAAAGCTGGAAAAAGAGTTTAAGTTGAAGACGTTCAGAATTAAACTCTGTTTTCTTTAGGACTTTTAAACAGGGGCGGAGCTAAATGGGGGGCCATGGCCACCCTTAGCCAATCACTGGCCACCCCTCACTGAAAAAATTGAAATTTTTTCTTAAAATAAGTGC